AATTTAAGCGTCACGTTCGAAAAATGAATACTTTCGCAATCTCATGACAATTGCTTCTTATTTCTCAATGATTTCTAAACGTGTATAAGATCTAATTATTAAAAGTAAAAAAGTCAAAGTGCTTGGTGATCTTCACGATTACAATGAAACGATATTTTATTTTAAATCGTGGAGGCGACTTTGTGTGAAATAAAATCGACATAGTCACAAAATGTTTTAATCACCAAGCATGTAGACAAATTAAAAAAATGTTTACCTAACCTCTTAAACAATTCTGGTTATATTTAAGCATAATCTAAAAAATAACTTTGTCTACCACTGTTATTTCTACCACTGTTATTCTACCACAGTTATATCGTACCCTATAATTTTACTTTAGAAATGTTAAAATCTGCGCTTCTGTACTCTGAGAGAACACGGAACCCGGCATTTTGTTAACGTAACATTCAACTGCGAATAAGTTTCAGTAACCGATTTTAAAAACTATCTCTGTGTAATTAAAAAATCGTATCTAATAAAATCCAGCCGATATTTCCTATCTTTTTTTTTTTTTTTTTTTTTTTTTTTTTCTTTTTTTCATGCTAAACTTTATCGAATAGCGATTATTGAAATTAAAGAAACGAAAAAGTCTATTCCAAAGTTAAACTTTCTATTAATTAATTATAATCTTATATATGCATATTTACATACGAGACGATAATATTTAAAAAATTTGCTCGTATACATGACAATCGTAATATTAGAAAGCACGTGGTTTCATTTCTTCAATGTCCTTCATAATAACGCTTAAGAAAAAAATTCCAAGAAATATAATAACGGTCAAAGTCATCGTCAAAGTTTCGTTTATAAAGAGTGATGAATAATTGCATTATAATGAAACAGATATCTTCGAAATTAAAAATAAGAAAAGAAAAAAGATAATAAACGATGATAATCCGTTGGGGAATAGAGTCGAGAAATCTTTTAGAAAATGTTCATTTTTTCTTTATATATATACACATATAAATATATATATCATTTATTTTTCAATTTAAAATTACATAATTGCATGAGTATTGACTCAAACTCAGATTGCCCCGTTACCGGAAGCAGAATTCTTGTACCATGGAAAAAGAAAATATTCTCATTGACATTGGACAAGATGACGATCTTCTAAACGACACGAAGTTTCTTGCGAATGGTCGTCAAAGGGAAGAAAGAAAAAATGGTACGGAAAAGGGGAGGGGAAAAAGCGAGGATTATGATAGAGAAGATGAGAGAGGAGAGAGAGAGATGGAGGGTTAGGAGGAGGTGGGAGAAGCACGTTGGCAGGAGTTCGCGAGATGTTCGGTTCAGGCAATTCGAGCGCGATGCACAGCTTGTGGAGGGTTGCGATAGAGATAAAGGAGAGGGGAAGGAGAAAGAGTAAGTGAGTGGGGATAGACCCCACCGTGGCGAAGCAGTTCCATATATGGTAAAGAGAGCCAGGATTGGCGGAGGGTGTCCTGCCCTTATTGGTCGACAGGCAGAGTGGTGGAGAGGATCGCGAAGGGGACGACGCTCTTCGTATAATACACTGCGCGCTCTTCTGTCAACCTACACTCTGTGTTTGGTGCTAGATCGGTTCGCAGTGTCGGCGGTTATTACGGACATACGACGACCGAGCTCTTCCTAACTTGTACATATTACAAGTATATCTCTATTTCGTTCTCTATTTTCACGTGAAGCGAAGTAAGTTCTCTGATATAAACGAAGAACATTTATATATATATAAAGAAAAAAATTGTTGGATAGATTAGCAAGTGGTGATTTTTATATAATATATTATTTTACACACACACACACACACACACACATATATATATATATATCTAAAGTGTGATAGAGAAATTCGGAAGAAGGATTATAGCTCTTTACAACTGTTTTGAGGATTCCTTTTCTCCGCAGTGCAACGAAATAATTTCGAAGTGTCGAGAAACTGTATCATGTTAGTTTATATCTCATTTAAAGATTTCGAATTATTTGTCAAAATTCAAAATAGTGGGTGTGTTCGAATTCGATGTATTCGCGCGTGAGTCATATTATTGAAGGTGTTCTGTTAGAGAATATTCTTCTCTCTAACGAAGTTTCCCTCTCTCTTTCTTTCTGTCGTTGATTATATTATTACCGTTCGCCGCTCGATGGCGCTTAGAGAACATGAATCTTCGATTTCATATATAGACGCCGATCGTAATTCCGATCTTTATTTCTTGTGAAAGATCGGTTATATAGAATCAATTCTACGTCTTTGTCCTTCCATTATAAAGAATAGAAAGTTATTAGAGCTAAAAATTTATTGAAGATAACAAGAAAATAATTATTTTTACAAACTATCGGAAATTCTTTATCGGTTGGCGACCGTTTAGCCGGGGAAGGGCGGGGCAGGGTGCGGTCATTCCATCGTGACGTGTACTTGCTGACTCGCCCATATCGTTTCTGAAATTCTATTCCTCATTTAATATTCTTGCTACATTTTAAATTTTAACAAATTCTTTTTTATCTAGAAAATAAACTTTTTTATAAAATTCTTATTACTTTATATATTAGTATCACTTTGGTATGGTAATATATACCTATATACTATTATCGAAATAATAGGTATAGTAATTTGTTTTTATTTTATTGATTGCATCGATATATCCTTTCATCGCTTTTTCCAATAGAGTTCGAATGGAAAATGAGAACTTTCCTTTCGAACCTCTTTCGTTTAGTACAATACGTATTCTTCGTCGCCATCTTGTAAAGTTTCCTTCCAGGTAGCACGATGATAGGCTGAGAATATTTTGTACAATTTGATTAGTAGATATAAGATTCAATTGAATGACTTATTATTCTATCTATATAATTTTCTATATTTTATAGAAAAATTGTAAATGATATATAAAATATGGGATTTAAAATTATTTATAATAATTGTTGATATTATAGAAAGATAATGTAGATTTCGTTATTTTCAGAAAAACAAATAAATAAACATGTGTGACGAGGAAGTTGCCGCACTCGTTGTTGATAATGGATCTGGTATGTGTAAAGCTGGTTTCGCTGGAGATGATGCACCCCGTGCTGTCTTCCCATCCATTGTCGGCAGACCACGCCACCAGGGTGTCATGGTAGGCATGGGACAGAAAGATTCGTACGTCGGAGATGAAGCTCAATCGAAGAGAGGTATCTTAACATTGAAATACCCGATTGAACACGGAATCGTCACCAACTGGGATGATATGGAAAAAATCTGGCATCACACTTTCTACAACGAACTTCGAGTTGCACCTGAGGAACACCCTGTTCTCCTCACGGAAGCTCCATTGAACCCTAAGGCGAATCGCGAAAAGATGACGCAAATCATGTTTGAGACGTTCAATACACCAGCTATGTACGTCGCTATTCAGGCCGTACTGTCTCTATACGCTTCCGGTCGTACTACTGGTATTGTCTTAGATTCCGGCGATGGTGTATCTCACACCGTACCGATCTACGAAGGATATGCTTTACCACATGCTATCCTTCGTCTCGACTTGGCTGGTCGTGATCTTACTGACTACCTCATGAAGATCCTTACCGAAAGAGGATACTCCTTCACCACCACGGCCGAGCGTGAAATCGTACGAGACATCAAGGAGAAACTCTGCTACGTCGCTTTAGACTTTGAGCAAGAAATGGCAACTGCTGCTTCGTCATCGAGCTTAGAAAAGAGCTATGAACTTCCTGACGGTCAGGTGATCACTATTGGTAACGAAAGATTCCGTTGTCCCGAGGCTCTCTTCCAACCATCGTTCTTGGGTATGGAAGCTTGCGGAATACATGAGACCACTTACAATTCGATCATGAAGTGCGACGTCGATATTCGTAAGGATCTCTATGCGAACACCGTCTTGTCTGGTGGTACCACCATGTATCCAGGTATTGCTGATAGAATGCAGAAGGAGATCACTGCCTTGGCTCCCTCTACCATGAAGATCAAGATTATCGCACCACCTGAAAGGAAATATTCTGTATGGATTGGTGGATCTATTCTCGCGTCGCTATCAACCTTCCAGCAAATGTGGATCTCTAAACAAGAGTATGACGAGTCTGGACCGTCTATCGTTCACAGGAAGTGCTTCTAAACGCATTTGATATTCCTTTTCCCATACTATCATTCCCCGAAGTCCCGATATGCGCGGGATCGTAGTGCGGTGAACGGCCCTTCGCGCCCCCGAGTTAATATCTCGAGGTTCACTACACTACCAGCAGCGTGGTGGGTGGCCTCGCGCGATGCAATGGAAGTAAGTTATGACCTTTGCTTGCGTTATTAAAAGGAAAGGAAAAGCGTTCGTTTCGACGACGATCGGTTAGCTTGCTCGTTATCCTAAGATGCGAGAGAATCTTTTTCAAGTTCTAATTTTTTTTGGTTATTTTCCAATTCTCTCTCTCTCCCCCTCCCCCCTCTCTCTCTCTCTCGATCACGTCTGACGGGCTCTCTCATCTGTCGTCGTCGAAAGGAACGGCCCTTTTAATAATACGCGGTCACAGTATTATAATTTATTTCTATTGTCTTGTGCAAGACCACGCACGACACAGACGAACACACGTTACGAATACATACGTACTATACGCATACTACAATCACAAACACATACACACACTCTTCACATACATCTTAAAGACTACTTTAGACTTATGGTATTATAAAATAAAACTCTTAAAAACACGATCAACTTGGACTCTTGTGTCTTTTAAGATCAGTTATTATTATCCAGATCCTTTCAATCGAAATGCATCCCTATGAAAGAAAGAAAGAAAAAGAAAAGAGAACCTTCGTCGTCACACCTTGCACTACGATGATGCATAGAGAGAAACTTGTGCGTGCGAAATTTATCACCATGCTTCGGTTTCATGATAATCAATTAATCTCATCGAATCACGCGAATCCTTTTTATACATAATTGTAGCTTTTGTACCGTTTGACGTCGTTGATTGTAACGTAAGATTTGTGGTGAGGAAAGAAAAAGAAACGAGAAATAGGAAAAGGATAGAAAAACAAAAAAAAAGAAAGATAAGAAGAAGAAATAATACTTAACATATAAATTACTCTAAGAATTTAATTAGGTTTATATGTTCAGTCGAATAAAAATTATTTTCAATCAACTTGCACCGTGTTAATCTTCTTCCGCGACGATGCGTTCGTGTTTTGTATAATAGAGAGAGAAAAAGAAAGAAAATAGTTGAAATAACTACTCTTCGTTATTATGATTATTATAATTATTAATTAGCACAAGTCTACCAAGCTTTACGTGTGTTTTCTCTCTTTCAATGATTTGTTACGCATTGTTACAGTTAAACGTCGATTATCCGGCACGATTAGATCTGTGTTATCATCACAATAATAACAAAGAACATCAACAACCTATGTAACGTCACAAGAAACATCTTAGACATATTTAATGCATGAGTACCAATAATAAACGTATGCATTTATATCAAAGTTTTTTTATCATTTCTAAACTTTAACGCGAATCCGATCATGTATTTCATTCAAATCGAGATAATCGACTGTTTCTGTACCTTAAATACAATTTCAGGTCAAAATTTCACTTGTTCATTTTTCTCGGATAATTACAACGAATTCATACTAAATAATACTATAATGTAACGCGTTTATCAGTTTTTTCTTTTTTTTTCTTTTTTATATTTTTACTTTCTTTTACAACTTTTTTTTCTAAATTTATGATAGAACATTTTCAAATTATTTAATATCTCTTAATTTCTTTATTTTCTCTTTATTGAACACTGACCTTCATTAACTTCATTAGATTACACCCGCTTGTGTGTGCGTGTTACATGTGTATGCGTGTGTACTAATTATTCCTGTAAACCCATTTAATCATCCTTCGCTTATCAATTGTCATTACAAGAGGCCATGGATCTAAATAATTGAAATGATACTCTTGATTATATCAAAAGGATTGGATAAGTATTTGTAAAAGTGACTTTTCAGGTATATATATATATATATATATATCTAATGTCTTATTTACTTAATATTGATATTTTTTTTCTAATCATAAATACATCGTTTATAATCTAACAAAAGTTCCTAAAGAACGATATTTCCTTCCTATTTTGATTAAACATAATTTATGATTTGAAAGGGTCAATCAACACTTGTGCGTTCGATCAACCCAGTTAAGAGAAGAGATTATAGAAATAGATTATCGTCTATCTTGCTAATAGATGTGAATCTGATTCGACGTATCGTATCCGGTAGATGGCGTATCTCTGGCAATTGTTGGTAAGGTGGGAAAATATATAAAATTCATACGTTTATAGGTGGCAGCATAGGACGAACGATAAAAGATATGCATTATTTGACAGGTGCTTTGTCTAAAAAATCGATATGAATCTAATAAAAAGACAAAGAAAAAGAAAAATAAACGATTTATGGTATTTGTTCTGTCATAACAAGTCAAAATGTCATTAAATCTTCGAATCGTTCGAAATTTATTTGTTGTTAGAAATTGATGTTTCATTATTTTCATAAAGGTTAACATAAAGGTTTGAAAAGAAGGATATGAAGATAATAAAAAATTTGATACAACTCTGAAAAAAAAGAGGTTATCGTTTAATACATATCTGATATTTTCATTAATTCGACATGACTAAGTTATGATCGGTTTCGGTGAAGTCGCTCTTATACACCATCATCGTTAGAAAAATACAAAACGATAGACTAACGTCAATGACATCTATGTGATTGTAATAAAAAAAAATTTAATACACATTCTTTCATATTGCACGCAAGTTCGGTCAAGATGCCAGAACAAAATTCAAGCGACCAATATTCAACGTTGGTAAGCAAATGATTTAACTTTGACATTAAGATTCGATGTTACGTTTTACATAACCTTTGTTCGTAAACAATAGATTAAACTGTTATCAATTAAATAATAACGCAGTTACTTTTAGCACTGTACTATATAATTCATTGCATGATTCATCCTTTCTTCTCGAAATCTAATTGAATATTTTTTCTTTTTTCCTAGGTTGGTCTGATATACATCTTCAATCTTATCGTTGGAACAGGAGCTTTGACTCTTCCAGCTGTTTTTAGTAGAGCAGGATGGGCTCTTGGTTTCAGTGTTATTTTGATATTAGCTTTTATAAGGTGAATAAATGAGATATTTTATTAAATATAATTCGAGATGATAATTATTTTTTTTACTATTACAGCTTTATGACAGTTACCTTTGTTATTGAAGTAATGGCATCTGCCAATGCAATAGTTACTTGGAGGCAAATTCAACATCGAAAACGTGTTAGTTTTTCTTATTATTATTATTATTTTTTTTTTTTTTTTTCATTTGGATTGTTTTCTTTGAATGTATTGGAAATTTATATTCTATTTCAACCTTTTTTAGGCAATGCAAACATTGGGTGAATCTTGCCCTTCCAATTCTGATTCAGAAGATACACCATTAGTTACTGCTTATACACCCAGTCCAGATCGATCGGATACAACTTATCGGTATTACATAATTCATGATAAGATAGAGATGGGACAAATAGCATCAATTTTTTTCAATAAGTTTGGCACCACCTTATTTTATTTATGTCTTGCTATTTATTTATATGGCGATTTAAGTATTTATGGTGCGGCTGTAGCTAAATCAATAGCAGATGTTGCTTGTACCTATCAACCGAAGAACTTAACATGTAATGATACTATAGCAGATAATGAAGTTTGTTGGGAAGGTTCTGCTTTGGATCGATCGGATGCATATAGAATATTTCTTGTATGTTATCATTTTATAAAATCGTAATATCGTTGATATCATTTATGCGTTGTGAACTAATGGAATTTATTTGGTTATTATTTATAGACTATTTTTATTTTTATGCTGGGACCTTTTGTATTTGTTAATGTACAAAAGACCAAGTATCTTCAGTTATTAACTTCGGCAATGAGATGGCTCGCATTTACTATCATGATTGTTTATGCAGTAAGAAAACTTGTTATCGATGGCCCGCAAGGCAATCCACCGCTTGCAAATATATCAGGTAAGCTATATTAAGAGATAAGCAATATTATATAAATATATATGACTAAACGAAGAAGTAAACAATATTATATTAATATATAAGAGTAAATGAATTGTGCAAAAATTATGTTAATCGATAATGTATCAATTTCAGGAATTCCTAGTCTCTTCGGTGCTTGCGTATATTCGTTTATGTGTCATCATTCTTTGCCTGCATTGGTTGCTCCGATTGCGAATAAATCTATGCTTAATCGGTCTCTTGCATTGGATTATGTATTAATAGCATCTTTTTATCTTTTACTTGCGCTGACCGGGGCGTTCGCTTTCGAACATCTTGATGATCTTTATACTTTGGATTTCGGGCCACGCGGATCAGGAGATTGTTCTAAAAGCACAAACATCTTTATGCTTATAATCGAATATTTTTTGGCACTTTTTCCAGTCTTCACTCTGAGCACAAGTTTTCCCATAATAGCTATTACGCTCAGAAACAATTTACAATCTTTGTTTTTATACGATGATACGTCTTATAATTTTTGCCTTCGAAGATTGATCTTCCCTATATTAGCAATACTCCCGCCTTATTTAATTGCTATGAGCACCAAAGATCTCTCTAAATTAGTTGGCATTACAGGATCGTATGCAGGAACTTGCATTCAATATTTAATTCCTACTTTCTTAGTTTATTATGCTAGAAAAAAGACAAATAAAATCATTGGTCTTGGTGTTATCAACAAATTTGCCAGTCCCTTTTCAAGCAATTTCTGGCTTATCTTTGTAACAATATGGGCAATCGCGTCCATGTTTTTAGTATCAGTTAATTTCATACAAATTTATTTCCAAGCAGCATGGCTAAATCAGTAGCATATAAATTTTCCGTACAGATTGTACATCTATGAGATCTATGAGATCAAGATGTACATTAAATTATTAAGATTTTCGAATATACTGTTCGTGTGCGTGAAGAAATGAAAATATGTCGTTTCTGTATCATGATATTTCATGGCATAAGTTCCTGATGTAGGAACTGTACTAAAAATTAATGATAAATAACTATTAATTTAAGGAAGATATCAATTTATGATGGTGTTAGAGATGATGGATTATTATACTAAATCAAAGCAAATAAGGCTTAATTTTGATTAGTTTCAAACTAGTCAAGGAAAAGTTCTGCTTTTCTTAATGCGGATGAAGAATAGTTTATGGCACAGAGCAGGTTCGCATGTGCTGCAAAAAAATGACAATACTCTGGCACAAGTCAAGATCGACATTGTACAAGCCAAATTGATAAATGTAAAAATTGAAATTTTTTTCTACAATATATTAATTAACTTTAATCGCTGTAATCTAGGATGTATTCAAATGTTGATGTCTATTCTATGTAAAGAAGTCTTTCAAATAACTGATACTTGTTCAATTAAATGACAAAGATTTATAGTATGGGCAGTATTAAAATATGGATAAAATTCAGAGAGAAAGTAATTATTAAATTTGTTTAACATTCAAAGATTCTATTATAACTCATTGTAGTCTTTATTTATGACTCTTTCAATATATACATTTTACTTTTGCAAATTTGTATCAGATATTTCGCTGATTGTAACAGTGTTAAAGGCCAAGAGTGAGCAAGTAAATGGAGTTAATTGTTAATGTATCATAATTTAATTATACAATGGTGTATTATTATATATAAGTCTTAAGATAATAGTACAGAAATATTTTTATATAAGTGTAAAACTGCCAAAAAAAGTACTGATAGTATGTTTGAAAAACTTTGTACCTGTACAAATGTAGCGTACAATAAACAAAAAATGCATATATATTTTCCAAAAAGCAATACAAACGAAAATAAATATATAATTGATTGTACAAGTTTATTTAGATTTATTTATATGCATATATACATATATTACTATCTTATATATTTATATTATTTTATAGTTTATATTATAATAGACTCGAGTGTGACAGACTTTTAACACAGATAGAATTCTCTTTAAAATTCCAACAACACAAGGTAGCACAGTTAAAGCACGTTAACCGTTCAATTCAGAAATCTTATAACTTGGTTTTAATCGCATTGAAAACATATAGAATAACCAAAGTGCAAGATTTCTGCAAACGGTCGAACATTCGCGCACATTTATCACAATTTAACATTTTACAAAAACGCACAATATTTTACAATCACACAGGACAGAAAAAAATATATATATATGTTTTATTGAGATAATATAAATTATTATGAATATATATGTATACATAATTCACAGTCTATGAGGCATGAACAAATTTCGTATATAACATGAGAACACAGATATTGAATTAAAAAAAAAAAACAAAAAAAAAACAAAAAAGTTAATATAAAACACATAAATATATAACTTATATAAATAACATAATACTTGTAAATGATGGCAAGTGAGTAAAAATTACCTAAATATATATAAAAGATTCATATTATGAGGCGATAAAAGAATTTTAAAATAGACACGTTATATATATATAAGAGATATTTTTTTTGTCGCTCTACAAAGATGCCTTTGATTTATCTCTTTGGTTTTGTTCTGTACACTCGAAAGCTTCTTGTTTGTGTTCTTTAAAAATTGATAATCGACGTATTAATCTCGTCATAAAATGAAATTTGTATCATCTAAGAGTTCGTTCTAATTAATTCTGAACTTTAAGACTAGGATGATTGTATTTTCTTCATCCTTTTCGATCATCAGTCTTCGATTGTACTAAAGGTATGTGTGTGCAGAATTTCTAAATATTTCGTGAATTTTCTCTAATCGCGATAACTATTTATCATTGCGCACGAAGTTCGATATTTACATATATCGTAGATATTCTTTTATATCGACGAACAATATCATGTCTAATTATATCATTCGCGGCAATATATATGTATTATCTATTATATAAACAGAATATTTCGTAACATGTAGGACTCATTTCATTAGTGGACAGAAGACAACAAACAATGAAAAAAGTTCATATAAACATGTGGCCCATTTGTATGGATAAAATAATTGCTGTAGCAAAACTTCCAAACTGTTGTACGTCTACTGTTCTTTACTATTACTATTCTTATTTTTCGACATGGAAACAAAGTGAAATGGATCATATATATAAATGAACATTTTTCACTGTTTAGCATTTCCTAACTATCGATGAAGTGTGTCCCACAAGTTACGAAACACCCTATATATAGATTGACAATATGAACGCTGTCTAAAAAGCTGTATATCATTTTCTATATCACTACCAAACTTGTTCATTTTTATTTGAAATGTTGGCTGTTTTTATCAAAAATCGTATTTTTGTTATAGATATGTGTATTTTTCAGGTTTGACTAAATTGATATTCAATATAACTCATTGAATACATATTATCTGGACCATCATCTTATACTGAAATCGAATACGAACTAATGTGAATGATATCGAAAACATTTAGAGACAGACTTAATTTTGTATTTACAAACCGAAGACGTGTTCGGTTTTATTTATTTTTTTTTTTTTTTTTTTTTTACTTTCATTAAATCCGGTTATGAGTAAATTAGCATGTAACGTTATAATAAGCATATAACGTTATAATTATATGTAATCGTTAGTATAATAAATTAGGTCATTAATCGTAATTATCCAAATAAGGGCATGACGCATCTTCGTGACCTATGCATTCAATTACCGGATCATGACTGCTATCCCACATCCCTGGACCACATTGGCGACAAAGTCCAGCAAGTGTACAAGGTAAACGAACGAGCTGACGAAAATTATGAAGAAGACCGCGTGCCTTTCTTAATATCAAATTTCCATCCATATACATGGCAAGTGAACTAAAATGCAATAGCATTTCGTCGGTTCTAAGATCTTGCGCTATTACGTCGTCAGCGTAAACACACATTATGGCTAAACAAAGGAACAAGTGAAAATGATCCGTTAAATAGTTGACCCAGCAAGCTTCCCACATGATGAGAGCAACTTCGGTTGGAAATTCACGTTTTAAACACCTGTTATCGAAAAGAAAAAAGATATTATTTTACAAATAATAATTCTATTAAGTTATGGCTTTTATATATATATATATATTTCTTTTTTTTTTTTTTTTTTTTTTTTTTTTTTTTTTTTTTTTTTTTTTTTTTTTTTTTTTTTTTTTTTTTTTTTTTTTTTTTTTTTGATTATACTTACAAAAGGATCCATCGATGACAAAATAATAATTCTAAGGCATCTGTATGTTTCTGTAGGTGAATATAGAAATCTGGCACCATAATTCTAATTAATTCTCTGAGATAGCACAAATTTCTATCCATATCTATATCAGTAGGTGTACACACTGCTACCGATCTTTGCATCAATCCAGCGAAACACCAGAAGGCATCGATTTCCGAATTAAGTTCTGCCAATAATGGAGCCAATAAATCAGACATACCTTGGGTGTATCCCAATCGGGGATTATAAACCGCGTAATTTAATAAAATATTTCTGGAAATAAGATATTCTTCATTTAAAAATATTCTTTTATTACTGATAATAATAATAACAATGACCAGTGAGATACTTACTTCATAACTTCGATATTTGGATTATCCTCTCCAGCGTAATATGGATTTCCTCTATCTGTTCGTACAACATCCTTTTCCACTATACAAACTACATTTCGCCAAAAACGTTCTCCTTGCTCTGGATTCATGTTTAGTCTACGTTTTTGAATTTCCTCATATTCTTGTCTTCTAAGAGCATCAATTTGTTCTCGATCTTCATAAGTGCTTTGATAAGAATAACAATGTAAGAGGAAGGGCCAAACAATTTTTCTCAAAGCTGGTTCCAACCCTCCAAAAAAGATTCCTTTACGGAGAGCCAAATCATCTTCTACTTGTCCCTTTTCATTTAATAAGTCTTTCCATGCTAAAGATGTAATCATTGGAACTTGTCCTTCTTCAGGATGCAATTCATCGCGGCCCACCTCAGGTCGACAAACCATAAAATGCCTGCATTATAAATGTACAGATGATAAACATTAAAATAATATATATATATATAATCATATAATAATATTATAATATACCTATAAGGTAAAGTTTCCTCTGTATCAGCGTCTAATCTAGGATAAAGTAATTGATGCCATTGGTGTAAAGTAGCAGCAAGGCGATCCAATCCACCATGATGAAAGTGTAAAATTTTGTATTGACTTTCTCTGCTAGCAACTACCAGTTGTCCACATGTACAAGCTGGATCTGCAAAGAATAACCTCAAGGATCGCATTTCACTAAGATCCACGGAAAATCTTCTACATCGATGAGCTCTTCTCAATGTAACAGGAGAGGCAGTTGCACTTTCAGGAAAAGTAAGATTATGTTGAAGTGCCAGAAGTTCAGGCGATCTCATCCATGATGGTATTTCTTCAGCTGAAAAAAAAAGATATAAAAATAGATAAAAAAAAATAATTCAATAATTTCTCGATCTATTTACTTACCATCTGTGTGTGTAGATATAGAGAGACTACAAGTAGAAGTCAGCGACATACTACGACTCTTAATACTCACATTGTCATAACATAAATGTATCCGATCATCTTCTACACTTTTATAATCATTGTCAATAGTATTCTTACATTTTTCTGCTTCTTCCATTGATTCTGAACGAAAACGATTAATCCTTTGATCTCTCTCCTTTCTAATGATTCCTGAAGCATCATAGATATTTTCTTTTTTCTTCCCCCATTAACTAAGTTTCTATATTGATTACTTTTTTCTTTTCTCTGAAACTCACCAATATCCTTGGAAGTGTCTTCATCCTCGCAAATACGTACTCCGGTAGAAAATCCTCCAGAACAAACACGTTCGCAATCGCCACATCTAATAGGTTCTTTTGCTTCCAAACAAACATCGACTCTCTCCTCCAGAGATTCCTTCTCGCAACTACTCTCATAGCGTTTCTCTCCAAGCTCTGAAATCTTTGTATGACATGGCTCGCTAATTTCAGTATCACGAGACATCACAATACTCTCCAATTTTCTTACATTTAAACTCTCCAAAGTAGTTGGATGTTTACGTAAGGTGCTATTAGGTATCCAACTAAGATGCAATGTTGGCACGTCAGAATTTTTATTAAACTTACAGGTTATGGTCATATATCCAGGATGATGCACGACGTCAGAATTCTGACGCGTTAAAGTTGGGGGATGTACGCAGACATTGTTCTTACAAAACAATGCCTCACCATCCTGATAAATAGTACGACGTTCATCCTGGCTGCCGTCGCCGAGGATGTAATTGCTCGCTTTCCTGAGAATACTCGGAAGCGGCATCTTCGTCGGCTAACGAATCTCCCCCGTTTCGGCGCATGGACTTCTTTCGCTTTTTATTAGATGTCTTACCTTTTCTTTATTTTCTTCTCTTCCTTTATCCTTATCTTATTTTTCATTTTTGTTTAACAAATCGATCACAACTAACTTGTTTGAGATGTGCACGAATGCGACACAAAGAAACGTTCTTCTGATCTATTATACGGAGGAGACGCATTTCAATCTTTTTTTTTTCTTTCACCCTTAATTATTATTTTCTTCGTGAACGTTCTTTCCCGAAGATTATTCCTTCGAAAAAAAGTCATAGAAACGTCGTAAGATCGGTTTTTATATCGATGACGAATTCTTCTTTCAATGGAAAATCTTGTTAACTTCTGAAAAATATGAAGAAAAATATGAAGATAGATGTATTTAAAATAAGATTCAGAGGCGTCTCGATACAATAAACTAAACTAAACACAAAGGTGGCGAGTTTCAGTTCAGTTCGCGCCATGCGCGGTGAAAACTAGGAAGAACCGCGAGGTATTCGTGATTTCTAAATAGGACACTTTTCCGGCACGATAAAATGCTTGACACACGTTGACCTCAATCCATTATGCAACATTCTAACTTTTGTCTCTCAAATCAATTGCTATGCTTACCAAATATTAAATACCTAAAATATCATATTACAATGTCAAATTTTCATTCATCTATAATTTATTTCCAATTTTGAAAAAAGATATATATATATATATATATATTTCGAGCAATCGAAATTCAAATAGTGCGTCTTTTACTCGTACGATGATTGGACATTGATCGATTAGTTCGGTCAATTGCGATTATCGAATGGATATCATCTCATTGAAACGTTTGCTTTTATAGAATCTATGCATAAATTAATAGAGAAAAAAAGATTGTATTTCCGATCAAATTTACGTCGATACCATAGCAATAAATTAAAAAATGATTTCAGCTAACAATTAAATAAATTTTGATATATTTTATAATTATTAGTCGTGTTATATGATCGAAAAATTTAATTTTTATTTATTTGATCAGTATTTTTTATTAATTAATGATAAATATTTTATTAAATAAATATAATCAATATGCATGAATATTTTGTTCAGTATAAATAATTAAGTGTCAGGATTGCGTCAGAGTTACGTCATTTATATTACGTACTGATATTTTATTATAAATATTCCCTGTTTATTCAAAATATTGACCCAGTAAATGGCAATCAGGGAACTTTAAATGAATTGCGATAAAATAAACTTATTATGGCGTCAGAAAATAAAACAACATTTTTTCTTTGCTATCAGATAAATGGAAATGCCTGTTGTGTGAATAAATTATAAATAATATCGATCATTTTAATGTCTACTGGAAATATCTTTGATGTTGTTCGTTAAGAGAAATGTATAGAGATGCATATTTCAGATGCATGGATAGTAGTAAAATATCTACAAGGTGTTTGCGAAGTCAGTATTAATTTTATTTTTCTTAATCGTTTATTTTTCTTAAGAATCTGTTTGACTTCAATCAATATATACAAAATTACATATAGAATTAAATAAAATATGGTGCAATGGATGTAATAATTTTTCGTTAAAAACAAATGAAGAAAAAAAAATAAAAAGAGATAAAAATTCAGATGTATAATAAACGTTTTCGTAAGTTATTATTTTTTAACCATATTTTAATGGAAAAAAATTCGTGCAAAATCGTTTACTTGTCCGCATTCATATTATAAGCAATTATCATATATATACATGTACCTGGTCTTTTTAATAAAGCAGTTCAGAAAAAGCGTCTATACAGAGGTTCACCTGGATCTTATGAAATTGAAATACGTTCCTCATTGAGGAACGTTCAATTGCAAGCGACGAATTATGTATGACCAAATCAAAGGTCAATAATGATTACAAAGAACGAATTCAATAATACACAAAATATTTTTGTGTAGAAAAATCACGTTTACTTAGAAACATCATGTATATATCATATGTAAAAACACCGACGCTATACATACATATACAAAAAATGATTTTTTCGGTAAACACAGAGAGAGCGAGAGAGCGAGAGAGCGAGAGAGAGAGAGAGGGAGAGAGAGAGAGAGCGCAAAATGATCATTGTCGATGAGTTATAAACATAGCACAGTCCATACGTACTCCGTCACTTGTTCATGATATATAGGTAGCGTCGCGACGCCTCAGCTGCTCTTCCAAGAAAAAGCAAAAAAGTATCGACTTGATCTCGTAAAGACGGCGTTACAACGGAACGTAAAACGTGTTTTGCCACATGCAAAGCGTCGCGCTGCTTCTCTCTTATCCAGGATCAATATTTTCATCTGATCGCGAAACCTGCGTGTTTTGCCCTACTACCCGAGCTATCGACATATCGTTCTCGTTACACTTCCGCTTGCTTTTTTTATTGATCTTCGAACTTTACCCACTCATTCGCTTTACCTTCTTTTCGTTCCTCTACTCTGCGTTTTCTTTAACTTCGATTTTTCAAGAATGTCTGTTTTTCGTGTGTATGACTTTTTGTCCTATATTAAAAGATCGGTTCGTTTGATTTCTCTAACCAATCGTTTTTATATTGGACACGACTCAATAGTTACATTAAATTACCGAATAAAGAGTAGAATATTTAATAGGAATAAATAAATAATATTATTGTATTAATTACTATTGGTAAATAAATAAAAAATAATTAAAACCGATTAATTGGATAGGTTTCCTAAATATCTTCAGTGATGCTTTTTACACAGTTTACAGTATCTAACTGTATTCTAATGTACTTCGTAGTTAAATATTATTTTATGATCTTTATTAAGAACTAATCCAGATTTAGGTCCACGTTTTAAATAGGATATTGTAGAGTATGCTGAAAAATGAAAATCTTCTTGCAGGTAGCCATTTATCAGTAAATGTCCTATTATAGCTTCTCCTGTCTCCCTAGAAAATGTTGGAGTAGGCACTTTGGCAACTCTTAATAATGATGCTCCTTTACCAAACCAGGCATCTATTAGCTTTAATGCTGTTAATCTTGTCTCATTTTGGATGGCTTTGGTAATAATTTCATACAAATGTCTACAATATGGTGCTACGTTGAATTCCTTCTTTTCCTTGGGTTTCCGACAATGGTCACACATTTGAGTACAATCCTTAGTTTCCCAATTTTCTTCGAAATGTTTAGCGATTAGGCTACGTCTACAAGAGTTTTGATCCAAACAATATTCTAATATTTTATACAGATTTTGCAAGCCAACCTTATCTTGAAATACCATAGTACTTAACCTGAACACATCAGGTAATCTATACAAGACAATACATGCTGATTTTTTACCATCTCTACCAGCTCTTCCACTTTCTTGATAAAAATTTTCCATAGATTTAGAAATACAATGGTGTATAACAAAACGAACATCTGGTTTATCTATACCCAATCCGAAAGCAATTGTAGCTATTACAGCTTGGTATTTACCAGAGATCCATTTAGCATATACTTCAGATCTATAATCTGCCTCTAACATTGCATGATAACATCCCACTTTTAATTGTAAACTACGTAAGTCCGTTGTTAATTGTTCTGCATCTTTAATAGTAGTTGTATAAATTATACCAGATTTATCTTTGAACCTATTTTTTAATAAATTTTCTATCATTGCTAGACAGGTATCCTTATCTGCTGGTTTACGACGTACTTCATAGAACAAATTTGGTCTGTTAAATGGAGCTCTCAAAACTAGGCAGCCTTGAATATCTAACATTTTCTGTACATCCAAAATAATCTTAGCTGGTGCTGTCGCGGTAAGACCAAGAACTGGTATACCTGGAAACATAGATTTTAAAATTCCAAGAAACTTATAATCTGGTCTGAAATCATGTCCCCATTGACTACAACAGTGTACTTCATCTATTGCAAAACGATCTAATTTTTTTAATTCGTATGCTTTTTGTAATTTGCTCATAAAACGATTTGATTTTGCCATATATTCTGGCGTAACATAAATTAATTTAAGATCAGATTTTTTATCTATTAGGGAATTCATTATCGTTTTAACATTTTCTTTATCTGCCTTTGCATGCAACATTAAAGCTTTCACATTAAGTTTGTGCAGCCCATGTAACTGATCTTCCATTAATGATAATAAAGGAGAAACTACTATAGTAATGCCTTTACTAATTACAGCCGGCAATTGATAACACAAACTTTTGCCACCACCTGTAGGCATAATTAAAATAACATCTTCATTAGATAAGATTGCATTCATGGTTGGTAATTGTAAAGGTCGCATATTTTGTATCTTAAAAACATCTTGTAACGTTTTCTTTAGATTTTTGGACCAATTGAAATTTTCCTCATTCCAATTCTTTTTTGATACAGACAAGCTCTTTTTCAATAATGCATCATCGCGTAATTTTTCTTTACGTTGGACTAACACATTTTTACGATCTTCAAGTTTCTGTAATTCAGTTTCTATTTCCCGTAATTCGTAATCAATAGCAGCTATTTCATCTTCTTCAGTAACTGCAAAATAAATAAATAATTGATGAGATATTAATAAAGAAGATAGAATCATAGGAAAATTTCTTTTGTTATCCCTTTCTTATCTTTTACATTGTTAATAGTATTTACAAAAAATAATAAAAAATAAACAAGCAAATAAAAATTGGAAGAACGCACCTTCGTTATGATCGTCAATTTTAATTACATCTTTCGAACTACATTCAGACATTATAAATAATTTTAATTATTTACTATAGTTTGTTAGTGATAAGTTATAAAAAGTAGATAAAATTATCGACGAAAAATTTCACGATATATATGCCACGCGCGCATGGACGCAACGTGTCCATATATTTTGTATTATTTTAAGAGCGACCTAGCCTAAAAGACGAATAGTGCCGGTATTGTATACACCCTTTGTCTGGTGTGATCAGCTGATTTTTAGTAATACATTCTTATCAGGCAAGTAACCTTATAGTTACGTCGAACTCTTTGCTTTAAATTAATAATACTTAAGCTAATTGAGCATTAATGCGTTAGTTTAAAAACGATCGAGAAATTGAAAATTTTAGAAAAAAAATAAGTAAAAAAAGAAATGTTTAATGTATTTAATGCGGCACTTCGTGCGTGCCCTACTTGGCTCGAAAATCAACTCGTTTCTGTGTACTTCAGGGGTATTAAAATTTTTGATATAATCATATTGTAAAGTTTTACTACTTTGACTGCTTATCAAATAACTTCGTTTCTTATCAAAGTAAAGACTTAAATATTAAGTAAAATTGCATGTTATTGTATGTCTCGCTTCAATACTTCTATTATATTTCTAACGATAAATTGAGATGCATTTTCTATTCAGCTTTACTAATTTGCTAACAGACATAGATTTTTGATAGTTTATTTTATATGTTGTTATATTATAATAATAGTTCTCCTTGATTACATTTACATTGATATCTATCAACAGTGATTTGGGCCAAGTATATATATGCTGCATGTAATGTGCAATAAATTTGGAGAATATTATACTTATGCATGGTATCTTCTAGTAAATAATTAATTTTAATAAAATATTAAAAGAGAATATAACAAATATTTTTATATTATTAGCACGAAGTATTACTACAAATGGTTTTCATAGTACTACATTGTTAATAGAGCAACCAGATATGAAGGTCCAAATATTACCTGCACTACAAGATAACTATATGTACCTTGTATGTATATTACTTTTTTTTATTAATTAGAATCAAATATTAATAGCCTTCTACTTAATTGGAGATTTATAATTTTAAAAGATTATTGATGAGAAATCCAAAGATGCTGCCATAGTAGATCCTGTTGATCCAGATCTAGTTGCTTCCGCAGTTAAAGACAATAATGTCAATCTTACAAAGATTTTAACAACTCACCATCATTGGGATCACGCTGGAGGCAATGAGAAAATGGTTAAAAAATTTGAAAATTTACAAGTATATGGTGGAGATGATAGAGTAGGAGCTCTTAATTGCAAAGTACAACATAATGATACCTTTAATATTGGAAATTTAAATGTTCAATGTCTTGCAACACCATGTCACACAACTGGACATATTTGTTATTACATAACAGGAGAAGGAGATACTCCAGCAGTGTTCACTGGTAAAATATTTTAAATATTTAGATATAGGATATATATAGTTTCATATGAATATACTGATGACAAAATTTATGATTAGGTGATACATTATTTGTGGGTGGTTGTGGTAGATTTTTTGAAGGAACAGCTGACCAGATGTATAAGGCACTTATTGACATTCTGGGTAAATTACCCAATGAGACGGTAAGATAATTATTATTAATTTGTCAAGAAAAATATAAAATATAATATAATGAAAATGGATATATATATATTGCGTGTTATAGAAGGTATATTGTGGACATGAATATACTGGTACTAATTTGAAATTTGGTATTCTTGTTGAACCAAACAATGAAGCTATTCGTCAAAAGATGGAATGGGCTCATTCACAACGTGAAAAGAATTGCCCTACTATTCCTAGCACAATAGAAAATGAGAAATTAACCAATCCATTTATGCGTGTTCATGAACAATCTGTCATGGAACATGCTAAAGAAAATGATCCTATAAAAACAATGGCATATCTGCGAAGGAAGAAGGACAATTTTAAGGCATAATATACTTCCTAAAATATTGTTTTCTTGTTGCTTTCAATAATTTCACATAGATTTATATATATGGATTACTATTTACTAAAAGAAATGACCCTATAAAAACAATGGCATATCTATGAAGGAAAAAGGACAATTTTAAGGCATAATATATTTCCTAAAATATTGTTTTCTTATTGCTTCCAATAATTTTACATAGATTTATATATATGGATACTATTTAGTAAAAGAAAAAAGGGGTCGAACAGGGTTTGTGTTTTTATATATAATATTATATTTGAATATTCTATACAATTACATATAGTCATAGATACAAACGCACAATTACAGATAACATATATACAATGGAAATTTATTAAAGTAAATACTACGTTGTATTTAAAGACATTTGACTTGGTGCATCTTCTGTTTTTTTATTGTAAATTTGCATTTCTGCAACATATTTTTCTTTAGAGCGCTCATACATGTCGTAATATACCTAGAAAAATAATATAACAACATTATAAAATCTATACAGAAAGGGAGAAGAATTCATAAGAATACCTTTTTATCTTCAGAGCTAAGCGACTTCCATGTAGTCGCTAATTGTCTAGTTAATTCTTGTTTGCTTGGTTCTGGTTCACCAGCCAGCCTTTCCATTACTCGAGGTCTTTGTTCTTGACAAAATTGAAAGAAAGGATTTGCAGGTCGTTTAGGTGCATTAGGATCTGTTTTTGCACCTTTCCTTTTAGTTCCTTTTTTTGGTTTATCTTCCTTAGAATTATTTGGCATAGCTTTTGTTCCTTTCTCTTGTTTCAAAGTTGCTTGGAATACACTGTTTTCCTCTAGAACACCCATAGGAGCTTCACGCCAACGATCTCCATGTTGATCCAATCGATCAATTAAAAATCTGTGTAGCGAAAACATATATTTATATGTGTATATATGATATATATATATGTATATATATATGTTTATATATATATACATATATATATATATAAACACTATGTCTTTTACAAAGAAAACTAAGGATTGTATAGCCTTACAGCTTAACCTATAACACTAACTTTTTTTCCTTTCTCGTCCGTTTAAGCAGTTTCCTTATTCTTTGAATACGAAAGACTAATCTCTCATTTTCCTAGAATGTATAAAACACGGTGAGTTAAAAACATTCCATGTAAACACAACAATAATACAGCACGTTATAACAACATATTAACCTGTTGCAAGATCTCACATCTATCCAGTAACAGTTGATATTTTCTTTTATAAACATCAAATTCTTCAGGCTCTGCGTCGTATTCGGACTCGTCTGACATTATAAATGTACTTTACAACAAAGTATAAATTATGTTTTTTCTACATTTTAACCACACCATCGATAACTCTTTAGCGCGTTTAATTTACACGATAGATTTGTAAACTTAGAGATGACGCCACTAAAGTCGCGTCTTTAGCGACTCGGTAATCCCTGCTATATCGACATGTTTTCAAGATGGCATCATAAGTGTGTAAGAATGAGGAAGCATTAATTAGTTTCGTAGAATAATTCCAAATTTTATTCAAATTATTTCTCATATATTTGATAAAAGTAAAGTTTACTCGACAACATTAGTAATACAATAATCTATTTGAGGTATTAATAATTGGACAGATTAAAAAAAAGAAAATTAGTTTTTTAACTTTATTTTCCTTCTCACGATTGGTTGTCAAGAAAAAAGAAACTGAATAATATATCAAAGAATTAATAATTTTGAAGATACTCATGCCATCGAATAAAGTAAATGATGTAATTTTACTTCTTCATAATTTTACTTTATTATCTTTACTAGAATCATAGGAATTTTACTCGATCGATAACATCCTATAATATTATCAGTTACAAGCTATGATTAGATGCTATAAAACATTTTCTCGTTAATTAACGTCATAAAAAAAATGATCACGTTATAAAACTGGGTGGTTTCCCGCTTCGGAACAAAATACCACGTGATGTCGATTTAAACGAAATCAGGAATCAGCATCAAATGGTTTCAATTATTTTTCTCTATAGTTACGAAGAGAAAAAATGAGTCGGAGAAATCGACGTTTTTTAAAAAAGAATGAAAAGTATTCGATAAAGATACAAAACGATAGCGTAGGTTTGTGAACGTTAATCATATCATTCTTATGCTTTGCGAGTCGACTAATAGCAGTTAAAAGAAGGGTTGGCTTGATGCGCATGCGCCTGTGAAAGCGAACTCACCCTCGTCCAGTGAGAGTGGGGAAAGCGAGAGCGTAGAGAAAAGAGATAGAGAACGTAAATGAAAGGAGTGAGAGAGTAAGTTAGAGAAAGAGAGAAAGAGAGAGGGAGAGGAAGAGAAGAGAAAAGAAAGAGAGAAGAGAGAGTAATAGAAGGAAATAGAAGAGAGGGAGAACGTGCGAGAGGGGGAAGACGGGAGCAACGACGAAGAAAACGCATATCAGCGTCGCGTTCGGTGTGGCCTTAACGCCTTTCGTCTCGACTCACGTTTTCTCTCCCTTCGCTTTCGGTATTCTTAAGCATTATTTTCCTCCCTCTCTTTAACCCTCTCGGTCATTCCAATCTCACTCTTGTCTCTCAGGAACGTCTTCGTTTTTCTACTCGTTCATCTTCGTCTATTTCCGTCCGTTCGTCCATTGGTCTATTGAAGACAGCAAGATAGATAGATAGAGATAGAAAGAGAGATTGAGATAAAGATAGAGAGAGATAGAGATAGAAATAGAGAGAGAGAGAGAAAGAGAGAGAGAGAGAGAGAAAGAGAGAGAGAGAGAGAGAAAAGAGAGGACTAGTAGTCGCTACATTTCTCGAAAGCATACCCTTTGTTTATCGGTGTCCGTAATTCACCCTCTTGTTCGTCGTTCATTTTCGGGTGTCATCGCCTTCTTTCGCTTGTGTCTCCTTTATATTTCTCTGTTTCTTTTTTTTACGTTCATAACTCCTCGTTCCCGCGCCCGTGTACGATGCAGTGTGTCGCAGTTTTTTAGCATTCGCTTTGGAGCACCAAAGACGACCTTGGGTAAGTGGAAGTTGTATGTTCGTCGTGCATATATATGTAAGTGTGTGTGTGTGATTGTATACACGTGTATCTACATACATCATTTGTATCGGGTATATGCACTCTCTGCGGAAACGTAGAGGTTAAAAATACTTGTCGTTGGATGGAGAGGGAGGGAAAGAGAAAGAGCGAAAGGGAGAGAGAATGCTTGCTTGTTCCGAGTTTAGTTCTGTTATTAATGCTTGAATATTTGGTTATCCGAATATTTGTTTAACTCTCGCTCAACGAATGTCGAATCATTTTGATTCAACTGTTGCAATAATCGCTTTATCTGTTACATATAATATATGTATTATTATTTCTTTGAGATAAACAATTCGGACATAGCTGTAGCGAGGATTGAGAAAACGCTCCAGGAAGGATACTTATGACAGTACAAATTATAGGAACAGATAAGAAGTGGGTCAAAATGACATTTCGGGCATCCGTACCCGAGTATCCAGACTTACAATTGAATATACGTAAAGGCCAAGGACACATGTGTGTGTGTGTGTATGGTGTAAAGGATAAATAGATTACATATTCGAAACGGAAATCTTTTGTGGTTGTTATATATCAGTGTAAATATGTGAAAGAAAATGAAACAGATAAAATTATAATAAATATGTTTACCGTTTTTTGTTTCTCACACGATCGATAACTAATGATTATTGATGATAGAGATTAAGCTTTCTCTTAATGACCAACCAACATCAGGGAGCCAGATATTTTATGACATCTATTGATGACAGAGCTGTTAATATCATCTTACGATATAAATTTTTCGAATGTATTTATCGCAACATTTGGTGAAATTATTCTTTCTTCATAATCAACAATCCTGTGTTTCTTCTAATACTTTACGCAATGATGTATTGTCATAAAGTATTTAATCATCAAGAGCCCTTCTCGTCCTGCTAGTCCAATGTTACTAGGGGTTGTTTTTTCTTTCCAGTTTGTCGTGAAGTTATTTACGATAATCTTTAAAAAAAACAATTTCGTTTAAGACGGAACATTTTCCAAAAAGATGTTCCTTTACCATTTAAAGAACATAATAATATGAAACATTATAAACAAATAACATGCTAGACGTTTTTGTATGTTAATATACTCGGATTTAGGTTCGAATATCCAAATATCCAGATTTGGATTTAAGCTCAGATTTTAAGTTATAACGAGTAATTTGAGTACTCAGATATTCATTCCGATAATAAGAGCACTCATTTTTTCTTGCTCTTTTTTATTATTTTTATCTCTCTTCGATCCTTATGGTTTCACATAGATACACGCGTCGTAGTGACGTTTTTTGTCGACAAAAGGGGAGAGAAAGAGAGAGAGAGACAAGAAGAAGAGAAGGAGAAGGTCGAGGAAGAAAGGGAAGAAGCTATGCGGATCGTGTGGAAAGGAAAGCTTTTCTCCTTCGACGAAGAGGGAAGCCTCTCGCGGATCAATAGCGGCCGTTGCGGTCGGCACGATCAGCTGATTGGCCTACTGCTAATTCTGTTTACAAGTACTTGCCGGTGCGTGTATGGATGATGTGTTCTGTGCCAGAGTACATGCAGAGATTGGAACGCGGAACACGGAACGAGAAATAGAGAACGAACGAGATCGGCCGATTTCACGAGGCGCGCTTTTCGTTTGTTCCTTCGTTCGTTTGTTCGTTGAATTCATCGAATTAAAAATTTAATAAAAAGTCTCACAAACATCGTTATTTCTCTTTTCATTCGTAAAATTTAAATATTATTAAACGTTTTAAAATCATAAGAGAGACTTTTTTATAAACTTTGTTATTTAAAAAATCCAATATGAAATCGATGAAGCTTTACAAACAGGCTTTCGAATAAATACGGATTATTCGTTCGGTCAAGGAACTTCCGTCATTTTTATAGTTTCTCATTTTGTTTTTTGTAATTGAGTATTATCAATTTGAATTTTAAATTTATAGCGATTCGTGTTTTGATTATCTTTGTTCGGCCTTTAATAGCCGAACGATTAAAGTAGATTAAAGGGGAAGGGAAAGAAAAAGAAAGAAAGAAAGAAAGAGAGAGAGAGAGAGAGAGAGAGAGAAAGAGAAAAAGAGGGAGAGAGAGAGAGAGAAGCTTTCCATGGATCAATAGTGTTCATTGCGGTTATGGCAACGAAATCAGCTGATCAGACTTCGTTAATTTGACTTATGAATTTTACGCTATGTGTGTAACATGTGAAAAATCAGTATATATGTCGATGTTATATCGCAAAGATAGGCAAGTTTAATAGTTTTGAGAGCCAATGTTCGCATATTTGGAAGAGCCACAAACAGAAAAGGTTTATATTTAATATGAAAGATATTTGAAGCATTCTTTTTTTA